ATATATATATGCACACACATACACACACGTATACACATATACATACACACATGTGTACACACGAAGTCAACACTATTATAAATATTGATGTATTTGATCAAAAACTTCAAACTTTTCGTTGACAATCTACCAGTTCTTTATAAGGTTCGGTACAATGACAATTTCGGTGTACATGTTTATTCAATATTTAAATTATAAATCTGAGCCGTCATATGATTTATTAAAATCTCAGCACATTGAAAACACACATAAACCTACTGAGTTCAGCTCATCCCCTGTGCGGGGTAGCCTATGCTTTAAGTGATTTAATTAATTAGGGCTGGTTTCTAGTGCTCAATACTACCCCTGACATCAAACGAAGGTTTGATGGTGTAGTTGTGGGTGGATATACCGGTGTTCGTGAAGTATATGCATGATTTGGTCAGTTATTGCTCTTTGTGGAAAAATCGGCAGAATTGGGCTGGGCGGCAGTTTCGGCCGCATATCGACCAACCTCTACTTATTGACCAACCTCGACTATGTCCAGATCGACTAAGACGAGTGTATCTATATGTACGCTGATCGAGACGGGTTTTAACCTCATCAACTTCAGCAGCTGTGCATGTCGCTGTTGACAAGAGTAACCGAATCCGAATTACTTTAGAAAAAAGTATACGTCCAGAATATCAGTGTTTATTGATTGACTGGTGTAGTACACCGTCAAATGCTTATACTATGGCTTTTGGGCAGAAAAATTCACCTAGATCAAAATAGTATTATATAGGGTCTTAGTGCATTACATCTACTCCTGGATTTTCAGTCGTAGTCTATGGTTGAATGTTTCATCGTGAAGTAATCGTATACTATTTATATTTTGAGCTTCTATATAAATATACATATGTAACCAGACATCTAAATACATATAAACGCTGTGTATAACCCAACATAACAGCCTCCAATGAAAGAAAGACGTAACAAATATGACTCTAACCCAAAAGAATCTACACATAAATAGTTTTGAGTTTTCATATGCAGTCAATGCTCGTTTGCACTTCATAATCAGATCAAATGCTTTTAATAGGGGTTTTATTCAATAGACTCTTCCCTTGGTCGTTTCTTGACATTCCCCCAGCACTGTTTAATCGATACACACAAGTGCTATGTAGAAACAAGACTAAGTGCTGTTAATGAACGGACAATCCTTGTCTACAAATCATACAGTAGGGTATTTTAAAATAGCAGGATACGTATGGGATACGTATGATATTGTCAAGAATTAGCTGAACATATAGAATGCATGATGGACCGATGTTGTTCTGACAATTAACGTGATACTCCAAATTTCAATCATGCTATGAAGTGGGTGCTATTCGTCGGTCGAATTATATACTGTTTTACATTTCAGAGTTCTGAGTGACAAGTGATATGCCGCTATGGCGAATACATACATTCTACCGTTACGATAATTTTTCACGTGTCGTTCTTTAAATGTTGCTTCTATGGTTCACTCTAGGGTGTTGCTAGTCTGGGGGTGTGGTATTTATATTAAGTTCTGATTGCGCCAAAACTACAACAGTTTGATACTTTGACTATATTTTTTCGACTGATTATAATGTGGATTTTATAGTTGTAGGGAGAGCAATTCCAGAGCGAATCTATTTGGCGGATACGATGGCAAACAAACAAAAAGAACTTATTCTGCATCAGTAGCATATGTTTATACATTGTTAGTTCTTAAGCTACCAGTACGTCATAAACTACATGTGGAGTCAAAATACTCATCCCTCGGTACGGATGTTCACATAAATGAAAGGGGTCTGTAAATACACTTATATTAAAAGTTAGCTCAAGTAAAAAGTAGATACAATAAAATGTCATGACTTGTTCCTCCAGTATAAGTCAGCTCTTAGTTTTGCCGAAGGATTCTTATGTAGTAGCAGTAGTGTAGCACACCAGGACCTGAAGAACAGAACCCATTCTGCTCTGTCCTACTGTGAGGCCAAGAACTGGTCGAACAAGTTTAGGACTGTTCACACACATGTGCGAACGATTAACCCTAGTATTAGCCAGGGTCATTATAGTAGACGCTTAGGGCAGCAGACAAATCCTTTGTACACTAGTCAAGTAGATGTGACAAAACAACTAGCTTGTTTCCTCAAAATAGTAGATGAAATCAATAGTAGACGAAATATGTCTACTATACCTATTCTCTAGCCATATATACCTAGTATTACTAAGAAAATTATACTATATAATTTTTCTCACATGGATTAGATTGCCTTTCATCTAATGATTACGTGATCTAGTTTCCAAACTTTTCTTTTTTCACCTAACCGCTCAAGTTCATATTTATTTATTAATTATATATTTCGAGTTACGTTACAGCAACAATGGTCTCCTTTCAAACCAACACCAGTGTACCTAATCGCAACGCATGTCGCACGCCGTCGGGTTACTACGGCCGACGTAATTGTCCAATTCTGGCGTTCCTGCGCGAGTTGGAACTTGAGGAGTTCCAGAAAGAGCATGCGCGCCTCCTATCGAACGCCACAAAGGTTGTCCATCTCCTCCAATCTCACGATCAACATATACAGATCAAGTTGATGGCACCTTTGAGAACGGAAGAGACAGTTGTCAAAGTTGAATGTTGGTTGATTGCACACTATGGGAGCGCAGCATATTTGTCAAGGTTCGAACAAAATACTGAGTTACTCGAAGAAGCACGTAAACATGTTCTCGTCGAGTGATGCACGTTTCAACTCATATTTTTGACCTGATCTTGCTAAGTATGGGGTGTTGTCGGCACTTTACCAGTTAGATGAACAATTGTCGGCAAAGACAATCCCAATCCCAGTACGCCGCAATTGCGGATGAGGTATGTTGGCTCAGGCAGCGGATGAGAAGGTAGTGTCCGAATCATTTCAGCTTGATTTTTCTCCGATAACGGTTCAACCGGCGACAGACCCAAGGCTAGGGACGCTGCAAGCACCAAACATAGTGCTTCCAGACAATCGCCAACAGGTTGATACTAGTAAGAGGGCAAGGGACAGGGAGGACTCTGCTTTCAAGCGACCCCGGCGGTGGGGTGTACAATTACAACGGAACGCAATTGCTGATACAGGGGATCGATTCTTCATCCACCCCTCTCACCCCTCTCGGGTTCCGACGAATGGCACAGCAGCGTGGTGGCCTAATACACGGCGCACTATCCGGCCAGTAGTAGGGGTGGAACCGACCTTCCAACAGTCGATGTTAAAACCTAATGCATCTTCTATCCCACAACTGCTGGCCGATTATTGACGAGCATATGATGTAGATATGTATCACCGCAAGTCGGACGAAGTAGCGCCAATTATGACCCTCCCATACCCCCCGGATCTTAACATAACCGATAAGTGGCTACTGGAGACAATTGAGTACCCTGATTGCTTACTGTTAGGGGGACCCTTCGTAAATGTTACAGGCCTGGGTTCGCCCCCAGAGATGTCCTCCAGCTTACCGGTGATGTTGCTGAATTTTATGATGATTTTATCTTTTCAGCAACAGGTCGCTGGCGACCACGAACGGCGGACAGACACAAGTATGTCTATCTTCACCAGCGGAACTGCTGATTTCCATTCTCGTATCTTCCAGTGGTAAATGGGCCAGTGTTTCCAATATTTGCGATTCATGTTGGGCAAACACGTTTATCGCCTGAACAACCACCGTGGTTAAATGGCACACCACCAACAACACAAAATACAGCGTGGGTTGCCTGGGAATATATCGTATCAGACATCTCTAGCGATGCTGAAATGCAGGGATGCTTCGAACACCAAGCGCTATACCCACTAACAGCGACGACGGTGTAGTTATGGAAGCTACGCATCTCAGTTTGGAACAAAGTGTCACCGAGACCACCTCTGTGCCCCATTTGCCATACTTGTAAACAGGTGGGACATTATTTCACCAAATGCCCATGCAAAGTGGTGGCAGCGGTAGCCACGGTTACTACGGCATCTTCCAGGGGAAGGCCAGTTCTAGGCGTTGACATTCTACGCGAAATGCGATCCGAGGAATGGCTCGGACCGGTCATTGCAGCCTATTGTGAAGACGGGAATATTAGTGTTTAAGTGGACACCGGGTCGCGGCCAGCAATGATATG